CAACTGCATTAATGATTCAAAAAATTCGGTATTGCGATTTCGGATCCGGGTCAAAATGTGTTTATTTTGCTCTAAGAGTCGGACCGATTCTAAAATGGTATGGTATGTTGGCCTACAGTCTCTAGGAGTAAGGTTGTAAAAGTGCGACAGTGACAGACTGGCATTCAGATTTATTTTATATATAAATACTGACATATGCAGTACACACTTTAATAACTAAATTAGCATATGTCTCACTATATGTGTCTGTGTGTGTAAGTCTACGTTCGAGTCTATGTCTGCTTATTGATAAAAAAAATCAAATTTTAGACATTCAACGACTGGAGAGTCCATATATATATATATATATATATATATATATATATATATATATATATGAAGAATTATACTCTTTAGGTGTACTATATTTTTGTGATAAAGTGCTCAATGTCAGAGATAGAGGTGTGTAAATGTAAAAGTGAACATTGAAGTCAACACTAGGCCTGAAAAAAGCCTGTCGCCTCTCTCTCTCTCTCTCTCTCTCTCTCTATATATATATATATATATATATATATATATATATATATATATATACATATATATATATATATATATATATAGTAGAAATGGGAATTTTTTAGTTGAAAATGACAAAAGTAATTCAAAAACAAACGATGAAAAACCTTAAATGATAATCAAAGAAAACCACAAAATTAAATGGAAAGAGAGAATGAGAGAGAGAGAGAAAAGAGAGAGAGAAAGAGAGATAGAGAGAAAGATAGAGAGAGAAAGAAAGAGGGAAAGAAAGAGAAAGAGAGAGAGAAATGTAGAAAGGCTGCCAAGAAGAAAGAAACGTATATGAAATAAAACGACAAAAGAATGATGGAAGTAAAAAAAATAACTCTTATTGGTAGATGTGGGAAAGAATGATCTCTAAATAAATTAACAGAATATTTACATGCTGGGTTGAATGCAAATGTTTCTCTTATCCTAGACTAGTCGACAACCATGGATGTAGGGAATGATCTGTCTTGTTATTTACGTTTATAAATGGATTTGGAAGATGTGGATTAATACCTTTCCCAAGTTTATTAGCATGTAAGTGAATGTAAAGAATTCGACTGTAATTTGAACCCGGCTCTTCGATTCCTCTATCCTTTGCTTTAAAGTGACTCAAAAAAAAGTGCAAAAAGATGTCAAAATTACAGAAGGACAAATGTGATTGATTAATTAAGGAATAAAAGCTAAACAAAAAACATCACTGGAAATCATTGTTAGTAGTTTTGACAAAACTAATTCCGTTTAACTAATCATTTGTGTCGTAAGTTTGCGCACCTTGACGTAGTGTACTGTTTAGCAAGCTTGTCTCACTAGAACCTATACCAAAACGAGTAGTGAGTTAGATCCTCATGCTCCTTAGGCCCATACTTTCGGCCTTGTGCCACATCTAAGCTACATCGAGAAAATCTCTACTTGTGTACAGAGTTCGATCCTGACGTGCTCCTTTCTTGGAATCTCGTAAATTATGGAAGTGGTTCGAGCAACAAATCTATATGCTGGTATCAGCTGATATTTAATCTTTGGATTTCATTGTATAATTCTGGATGGAAGGGATTAATGTAGAAGCGATAGAAAGAAAAAAAAACGGGGAGAAAAATATAGAGCTTGGTGTCTAAAATAAATCATAAATAAATTCTCTTGTAGGCTAGTGATTAATCGGTATAAAGATAGATCAGTATGTCACTGGATGATTACTAAGAAATAGCACATCTTCTAAAACATATAGCTGCCTTATGCCATACTAACGACTGGGTAGCAAATATAAAAAAAAAAATAGTGTTAAATGAAAGAAAATTTTCGACCCTGAAAAAAGGAGAGACGGAACATAAAATAAAAATAGAGAAAAAAATAACAACCTGACAGAGAAAAAAAAAGAAGAGAACTAACAGGCCAAAAGCGCCGGTTATTGTGCGTTACTTGTAACACATCAATTGATACTGGACGATGCATCGAAGTGGGAAGTCACAGGTTCCGACCTAACTATAATGGTACATTTCGAAATCAGAGGCATTCATCACTACTCGTAAGCTTTCGCCGGCGGGCAATCTGTCGCTTCAATGGCGGCAATCGAGTTGAGAGCGAGGTGATGGGTACCCAGAGATTCCAGAGATCTCTAATGATATCCTCGAACTCTTACAACAAGTCTAGTTATTATTGTGTGAAAGTGCGCGGCAAACTAACAAAGACCACGTACTTCGATAATGATAACAATAGTCGATAGGAAAGGCGTCTGAGTATATGTGGAGGGGATAAAGTATGAGGAAACAAATACATACTACATACATATATATATATATATATATATATATATATATATAATCACCAGATAGTTAGACGCAAAGAGTTGATAGATAAGCTGACGTAGACACACGCACACTCATAATATATGTGTATATAGATAGATAGATAGATAGATAGATAGATAGATAGATAGATAGATATGGATAGACTGGAATAGATAATAATAATAATAATAGAATGGGATAGACAGATAGATAGATAGATAGATAGATAGATAGATAGATAGATAGATAATGAGTGAGTGAGTGAGAGATAGTAATACATGAATAGGAAAAGAACAAAACAGGTAAATAAACACATATCCAGATAGATAGATAGATAGATAGATAGATAGATAGATAGATGAACTTGGTAACCAAGCGTATTGATGCAGATAAAATATGAGTTGAGGAATTACACATAATAGATAAGTGCGTAAAAGACAAAGATGCGTCACACGCCTGATTTCTTTTACATTGATAAGGAATTGGGGTCGATTATAAGATAAGCAGAAGTAAAACCAGGAGTTTCTGTTGACAGACACACAGGTAACAATATGAGCGACACATCTGATAGCGTATTGGTTGTAGTCACAAAAGGAAAACTGCGGGAAACCTTACATTGTTGAGACTATTATTATTATTATTATTATTATTATTATTATTATTATTATTATTATAAATGAATAAAAATAAAATATAAAATAATAATAAAGATAATTATACATAAAACAATAACATAAAAAGTTGTGTAAAATAAATAAAAATTAAAAATAATAAAATATTCCCAGCATACAACTAAAACTTTTCCTGGCAGAAATACGGACATCCACCTCAAAAATGTTTAATTCAATATCTTTACCACTAACGTTGGTAGGGGCAACACATGTACAACTTCTCTCTGTGATATGGCTTGTAATACTACTTTCTCACTTTTATCTCATATAGCATAAAATAATTGTAGCCTAAATAATACACACTAAATATAAATAAATTATATGAAATAAACATACAATTTACCATCCTTTACCAGTTTTTTTCTGCACGTTTTATTTCTTGTCAGGTATGCTTTTACCTCCGTGAACACGAAGCTAATTTCTGCTGCTATGATATGAGTGAATCCCTCGCAATTATGGTGACCACCTACGTGTATAAGAAAAACAAGCTATTCCACCACAATACACTGCAAATGTTAATGTTACTAGCGTATTTTCCCATGTATAATACGCAATTTTTCTAAAAAAATATTAGGCGATTGCAATCCCATAAGAATGTCAGATACAATCATAGGTACCTAACAATACTTTTAAATGTAAAAGTAAATGAGAATTATCATAAAACAAAATTAGAATAATATTATTCTGTGTTTAAAACCATTATTCGTGACAAACTACATATAAATCCGGTAGATTAAACAAGTCGAAATAAAAAACAGGTTAATGAATCTGCGCAGTAAGCAAAATATATGTATTTCCGTTTCCTTTTACAATCGTGATGAACGGAAATTTTGAAAAATCTCTACAATTACAGCTTGAATAAGAATAGGAAACGTTGGCCATAATAAAATTGGAGAGGTACTATTTTTATGGTTTGCTTACCAAACAAGGGGTGCATATTATGCGTGAGTGGAAGCATTTTTACACATTTTCAGCACAATTTTAGGGTTGCGTTTTATAGATGAAGGCCTATTATACATGGGGAATTACGGTAACACGGTTGAAACCTTTCTTTGTCGCATACAACGGACTTAACTGCTGACTTCTAACAGACACGCTCCGGATAAATCTACAGCCCTGTTAGCCTAATTTTTAACTTTATCTCTTGCTGACGTCCTGCTTTAGATTTTCCTAACCAGTGAAAGGCCCAGTGGCGAATACCAATTTGCTGTCCATAGCTCTTTAACCCTCGTTAGAGAACGTGTGGCCTTTGATGTGTGCATACGTAGCTCATTAGACTTCAATTAGGATAGAGAAAATTCCCTAAGAACAAAATGCCAATCAAGTATTGGAGAGCGATTTCAAAATATTGTCCCTTAACATGACATCGATTACCTGTCAGACATTGAAATGTAGGCGAGGTTTTGTACGCTCTCTCATATATATATATATATATATATATATATATATATATATATATATATATATATACTTTTATGAGAACTACCTTGACGGATACTTTATATTCGTATTGATTTGTCAACAGTTCATCGAATATAATTTAATTTGAATATAGTTTCGTTTCTTTTCCAAGCCTTCATATGTCATAGTTACCGTCGTTATTTTTACTTTCATGGTAGCTTTTTCTCCTTTGCCTCAACTGTAGAAGGGGGCACGTGAAATAAAAGCATAATAAATAATTGAAAGCAATATAACAAGCGTAAGAAAATAATTTTTAAAAAGAAAATAATTTAATCATTGACTATTCCTTTTATTTCTCGGTTGGGTATCTGAGGAGTGAGGGACGCCAATTGGTAGGCTTTTTAAAAATATTTTTTCACTTCGTCTACCCTATGATAATTATATTTTCTGTTTGTGTTTTTTATTCTATATTTCCCATATTATACTGCATTCAAAATGTTCTTTTCATAGCCATCTTTTTTACCCAACGCCAAATTTAAATATATGGGCTAGATTGTATAGGCTATTCCAATAGTTTATTTATAGCTGTGTGCTGTGCCCCATCATGGCTCTCCACAGCTACCTGTTCTTTTCCCCTCCAAATTCGTCTTCTGCCTTACAATTTCACGTGTTGGTAGTTTCCTCTGCCCCTCTTGTATTCACTCTCTTGTGAGTGTCAAATCCTCGAAGCTCTCTTTCCTCATTATGTGCCACATAAGATTAAACTGTCGCTTTCTAATGTTATGGATGAGTGTCCTTTTTGCCATTTTGCATAAATATTCATCGTTCTTTACATGTTCCATTAATCATTTAGTAGAAACACATTTCTATTGCTCCAAATCTCTTCTCCATCTGTGATGAGACTGTCCAGCATTCTCAGCCATAGAAGTTCACTACTCTATTTTCCTGTTTCTTAAGATTTGGTTACGCTTGTAGAAGGGATAATTCGTTTTCCCGTGCACCTTATAATATTGATATCACATTTTCCGTCCACTGTTAAAAGAGTTCTCAGACAACTAAAATTTCATACTTAATTGATTTTGTTATCTCCAATTGATAGTTCTCATCCTGGGCTCATCCCCTTGTTGACATCCATAGATTTTGTCTTTAAACCGATACATAATATATTGTTTCGCGTTCCTTTACTTCTTTCTGTAGGAATTAATTTACTTCTTTCTGGAGGAATTTCTTTAATTCTTTCGGTAGGAATTTTTTTCACTTTTTTTTCTGCAGGAATTGCTTTACTTCATTCTGGAGGAATTTCTTTACTTCTTCCTGTAGGAATTCTTTTACTTCTTTCTGTAGGAATTTCTTTATTTATTTCTGCAAGAATTTCTTTACTTCTTTCTGAAGGAATTCCTTTACTTCTTTCTCTAGTAATTCTTTTGCCTCTCCCTGGAGGAATGTCTTTACTTCTCCCTGTAGGAATTCTTTTACTTCTTTCTGCAGGAATTTATTTACTTATTTCTGTAGGAATTCTTTTACTTTTTCTGTAGTAATTTCTTTACTTCTTTCTGCAGGAAGTCCTTTACTTCTTTCTGTAGGAATTCTTTTACTACTTTCTGCAGGAATTTCTTTAATTATTTCAGAAGGAATTCGTTTACTTCTTTTTGTAGGAATGTCTTTACTTCTTGCTGTTGGAATTCCTTTACTTCTTTCTGCAGAAATTCCTTTAATTTTCTTTCTGTGTCTTCTATCATCATTCTATGACCTTTCTGTCTTGTTGATATTGCTTCCTAATGCTCTCACATCAGTAAGTTTACTGGTTTCAAACAATAACTAATAAAATGTATCTGTTAAATTTCCGTCCTAGATACAGCGGGTAAAATAGCAATATTTTTTTTTAAATAGCCTTATAACCGAACAGTCTAGTCAACAAAATATTTAATATCTAAAATCCTCTAAACTAATTTTTTCAATGTTTTCTGATGAGACGTTGTGCCATCTTGATACATTTGTCGTAAGAATCACTGAAAATACTTTTGAGATATTCAGCTAGAAATTGAACAGATAAAATCATTTTGTATCAGTGTCACTGTCTTCTCAACTGAGCAATGGTGAGAGGAAAAATCATTCAGGGCTTCAGCAATGGTAATAACATCCATTCAAGGGCCATCATGAGAACGATGAATAAGTTTAAAAAGAAAGAACACTAGAGAGGAAAACTGGATCACAAGGTCACAACAGGAAGAGGGACCATCATTCAAAGTTAAAGAGATCAAATAGAAAACATCAATCTAAATCCGTTAGAAATTTTTACACGTGAGCGAGGAGTTTCAGCTATGACTGTCCAAAGAGCGGTGAAGAAAAAAAAATGTAATTGAAATCGTACGTGAAAAGTGTGAGGCACCTTCTTACTCCAGGACAGAACCTTAGAAGGTTTGAGAGAGCGAAGGTCATCTTGAATTAGTCTGAAATAAATCTTAGAATATATATATATATATATATATATATATATATATATATATATATATATGAATTAATTGCAATACTTTATCAGCTTCCGATCCTTAGCTTTGATTAATGATGGATATATCATTTTCGTTTATTATCGATTTCATCAGGATTCTACTGTTAATTTTGCTGTTACACGGTTGGACAATTTTGCAGTTACACGGTTGGATAATTTTGCTGTTACAGCCTTAAATTCATTAGTGGGAATGTTCTACGTTGTTCGAAATAAAATGTTATATTTCACAACTGTCAATTATGATTCATCCAATCAAGGCAGAAGCAAGGCTCAATCGTATGGAACGACATCTATAATTTGCTTCTCACCTTGTCTATTTGAACAGAGTTTCGTTTATATTTCGTTTCAGAGTTTAACCTCCTGGAATATTATAAACTTAAAGGTTTATATTCGCCAGTGCTTAGTACAGAAATTCCGAAAGGCTCATACAGAAGCATTTAAAAAAAAAGTGTGCTCTTGATACGTATGCAATAAATGTTTGTACATGTCAGTATTGATTTCAAATGATTGAAACTGGTGATTGTGACATATCCAAAATGCCATCCTCTGGAAAAATACCTACTCTAAATGAATACGTTTTGAAAAAAGATTAATTAATTGGATCTATATAAACGAACGGAGATTTTTCCGAAAAACCTAATGTATATTCAATTGTACACGAACATCAAAAGCTAACTGGATAGTGGTTCGGACTAAAAAATCAGAGAATCGACTTCCAATTCCACTCAGATCCATTACATTCACTTGCTAATACCCTTGGGATAGGTATGAATCCTATACTTCACCCTCAGCTATGAGTAAATAGCATGACAGACCGGGTTATATAGCCTTGGATGGCAACTGGTCTACCGCAGAAAGAAATTTCAACCTACTGCTGAAAAATCTGCCTAGTCAGTCATATATCCAAAGATACATGATCCCCTAAACGCATATCACATAACTGAATATTTGAATAGTATATAAGATGATCCTTCGCTTGCTAACCAAACAGTAATTTCTATTTACAGCAATATTTTACCCAGGAATGTCAACTTTTCTTTAAATGCAATTTTAAAATTGTTTATTCATGTAAACAGAAAATGAAAAAGATACTTGTTATCATCTCAATCCGAGAAAGCAATTGCAAAACCTGAACTGTGTCCACAGAAATCATTGCATTGTACGCATTTTGACAGCTGCAATAGAATAATGTCATCGTTTACGAGCTATTGCAACATGTAAAGATCATCACTGTTAAAGTTTATTGTCAGTATCTTAATTATGTAAACGAAGCAATAGGTCGAAAATACCTATTGATAAACTGAAAGGGTGTGATTTTCCTGAGGGAAAGTGCAAGATCACTCACATCAAAACAACACCCAAACAAAAGAAAATTGTTAGAATGGAAGATTCTTCTACATACAAAGCAGATTTAGCAACGACAGATTGCCATCTGTTCCGATCAAGTGGAATTTTTATAACAGAAAAAGGCAGTTATTCATATATTTTATCAGGGTATATTAAATAATTTCTTTCAAAATGGAATCGATATTTGATTGCAGTCGTTTAAAACGAAGGTAATTATATTTTTATGAAAAAATATTTAAATAAATTCAACTTGTCTCAAAAACGCAGCTATTTTCCGAAGACACAAATATATAACAACCTAAACACGATGTCTATGTTTATATATATATATATATATATATATATATATATATATATATATATATATATATAATATATATAAATGCATGACGCTCGTTTGTGTGGGATGCATGGTAAGCCCTAAAAAAAGGTCTGTTCCACAGAACTAATCCCTAATTGCATAGCATAGATAAGATAAACAGCAAGGTCCTGAAATATGTTTTATTCTGTATCAAAACGTACCCTATTAAAAACTTTACAAATGGTCCTGTGGAATGAATTAACGCCTGTGTCAGTTTTTTGGCACGCCCATAAGACAGTTATAAAGAAAACAAGGTTGGGGATGGAATGTCGCTTTGCTTAACTCCGTTGTTCCGTCCTGAGAATGACGATAAACTACATCCGCGTCCTGGGTAAGACGATAAATTACATCAGCGTCCTGGGTAAGACGATAAACTACCTCCAGCAGCAAGGCCTCTGATCAGAAGGTTTTGAGGAGAGTAGAACCACCTCTTAATTGCTGGCGTTACCAGGTCCACCCTGACCCAGGGTGGTAGTACCTGTTAGGGTCCCAGCTATAGGCATATAGTTAAATATTACCAGCAACATTGTTTTGAAAAAAATTATTGCCAGCAATATACATTTGAAGGAAAAATACTACCAGAAACAGATTTTTGATAAAACAAAATATTACCAGCAATAAAATTTTTTGTCGGCATTAAATAGCCCATTGAGTTTGATATGCCGTAAAACAAAAGAAACCAAACCAATCTAAACCAAAGAATATATATTGTATTCATATGAATCTATCCTAAAAATGTTGTCGGCATTAAATAACACATTGAGGTTGATATGTCGTAAAACAAAATAAACCAAACCAATCTAAACCAGAGAATACATATTCTATTCATATGAATCTATCCTAAAAATGTTGTCGGCATTAAGTAAACCATTGAGGTTGATATGCGGTAAAACAAAATAAACCAAAACAAATTAACTCCGTTACTGGTATATAATAGAGTGATCCATTGAAGATAAACTTTTATGAAACTATATGGTTGTTTTGTCGTGATGGCTCATTCAGGTTGACATTCATTATAACTGGGTATATTCCCTCCGGTGCGTCAGGGTTGTATCACATGCTTTAGTTAGATTGGCAAAACCTGCTGGAAAAATATGTAATGTTAATTAAATATCTCCTGTAATTGAGGAAAGTAAAAATATATATATATATAAATAGTATACATTGGTGATTCCGTGTGGTGATTTTGGACAGGGTCATTTTAGAAACTGATTCAGTAAATTTTAGTACATTTGCAGATATCTCACCATCCGCTTCAAGAAGACTTGGTGCCGTTAATTTGTTTAATCGTATCTTGGATCACAACGCTAAAAGGATGGTAAGTCATATTAACTATAAAATCAATTTGTGGCAAATTATTGATGACGTATTCAATAATACTTTAAGGAATTTAAAAAAAGGTAATTAAAATGGTTATTCCATTGTTTAATGAAATACACTGTAACGTTTTTTTTTAAACATAAAAAGAGCTTACAGTTGGGAGTTACCATAGAGAAATATTCAGGATCTCTGACTTGTTTGAGGATGCGTTATGATATTTTCGCATGCTTAAATTTTAAATATTCTGAGTTTCTTTAGAAACGTTCGGCCACCACTGTCTCTTCATTTAATTTCTCTCTCTCTCTCTCTCTCTCTCTCTATATATATATATATATATATATATATATATATATATATATATATATATATATGCATGCTATATTTACGGGCTAGAGAGCTCAGTAAAATCAATAGAGCATATAGCCTAAAGATTGAGTTGAGTAGAAAATAGCCTATGAGAGACTAACTGTAATTTATAGAAATTCATACTGACTGGAAATTTGATATTTAAAATACTGTATTCGAATATACTAATAAATATTTCAAATGCATTACAGTTAATATCTCTCTCGCTCTGTCTTTTATATATATATATATATATATATATATATATATATATATATATACTCTCCTCTCCAAATATATTCGAGCTACAAGTTCAATTATTTTGTTTTTGTTTTCCTATGAAGGCATTTTAGTTTCAGATCAAATGATGAATATGAGACCTGTATTCTTAAATTCAGCTTTTGTTTCTATTAAATAGCTTAGGAAATATCACATTTTTATAGGATCTCCCCATTTTTAGGTGTGTAAAAGTACAAAATAAAAGAAACATATTGTCCTAAAGTAAAAAAAAAACAAAAAACACTTAATAATTGTTTGCATAATCCTTGCTTGCAATAACTGCATCAAACCTGCGAAACATTGACATCGTCCAACTGTTATTTTTATTTGTAATGGTTTATCAAACTTTTAACGCAGCCTCTGTTCTTGTTTTATCAATTATTTTTCATTAGATTAAATGCACGCTCTATTTGGTTATGGTCCGGCGATTGACCTGACCTGTGTAAAACTTTCTACTTTTTTTCCCTGATGACGTCCTTTGTTGTGTTGACAGTATGATTTGTATTATTGTCTGATTGAATGACAAAGTTTTACATTAGTTTTGATGAATTTCTCTGTAAATTGGCAGATAAACTGTTTCTGCGTCTAGCATAAACCAGTCTTTTGAGAGTTGATTTCAATGTTCACTTTTATACATCTATCTATCTATCTATCTATCTAT